TTGGAGGGTAACATGACCAGAATGTAGTTAAGATTCAGATCCACATGATCCACATGTGCTTTCTGTAATTTCTCTTTAATCAAAGCCAATTCTCTGCCAGCTTCAGCTGATAATTTCCTGGGACTATTTAAGGCCTTGTCACCATCTAAGATTTTGTTTAAATTAATTAGAAGCTATCCCAATAGTAGGCTGAAGATGGGAAATGTGACCTAGCAATCTTTGGAAGTCATTAAGAGTTTTTGATCAATCTCTTCTAATTTGTACCTTTAGGGGGTCTAATTTTTTTGGCAAACCTATTTTATAACTTAAATAATTACTAAGATCTTTTTGTGTTTTTTTCTGGAACAATTGTAATCCCCAACAAGGAAAATCTTTCTTTACTTCTTCAGACATTCTTTCTAAAGTATTTACATTTGAATCAGATAGTAAAATGTCGTCTATGTAATAGTAAACTTCAAATTCAGGAAATTGCTTATGTACCATTTCCAATGGCTAAGTTAAAAAATATTGGCACAGGGTGGGGCTATTTAACATTCTCTATAGGAGAATTCTTCGTTGATATCTCTTAGCAGGCTGAGAATTATTTTAAGTAGGAACCATGACGGCAAAATTTTCTCTGTCTTTTTCTTGTAAAGGTATAGGGAAAAAACAATCTTTTAAATCAATAACTTTAAGAGGCCATCTTTTGGCAACAGAGAAGGCGAAGGAATGCCAGACTGTAGAGAGCCCATTGGCCGAATCATCTTATTAACAGCTCTAAGATCTGTTACCATTCTCCATTTTCCAGATTTCTTTTTAACAACAAATACAGGAGAATGCCAAGAGCTGGTTGATTCTTCAATATGCTGAGCATCTAGTTGCTCCTCTACCAGCTGTTCTAAAGTCTGCATTTCTCTGTTGTTAAAGGCCATTGCTTAACCCATATAGGTTTCTTTGTTAACCATTTTAAAGGTAGGGTCATTGGAATCTCTGAGGGTTCTCTAGTTGTTAGCCTGTGTTTTTATACAGCCTGAATGGTTGGTGACTGTTTTTGATAGTACCTTATAATATCCTTCCCAGAAACATGTATTGGTTTATGGTCTGTTTCTGAGACCGGAGGAATGTTAATCTGGGTATTCCATCGCTACAGCAGATCACGACCCCACAGATTCACTGCTGTATTGGCCACATATGGCCTCAGCCTTCTCTGTCCTTCTGGCCATATGAATTCAACCCATCTCTTTTTTGTTTTTTGTTTGTTCATTTGAGACAGGGTTTCTCTGCCGCTTTGGAACCTGTCCTAGTACTAGCTCCTGTAGACCAGGCTGGCCTCAAACTCACAGAGATCCACCTGCCTCTGCCTCCCAATTAGTGGGATTAAAATCATGAGCCACCACCAACTGGTTCTTTCTTTTACCTAAACTAAAATTCCAGTTCCTAGAAATTGAATCTGCTTCCCGAAGAGGCCAATTCAGATGCCAAGATTCTGGAGTGATAATAGTGACATCTGCACCTGTGTCTAATCATCCTTCAATTATAGTGTTATTTATTCATACTCTCAGCTTTGGTTGTGATCGTTTATAGAAGTCTGCCAAAATATACACTTTCTATTTTCTACTGGAAGTTTTGATCCACCCCCCATGGTTATTCTATCATCCAGAGCAGTATCGGTTTTTACAACAGGCATTGGACTTTCTAATTTTCCTGGGAAGGCGTGTCCTCTCAGTGACTGAGAATAACTGGGCCACATTCGACCTGGGGCCCTGAAAGAGGACCCCAAGGAATTTCTCAATGGTAATGGGTTCCTTATTTGTTTCCTGTTGATCTACATTCATTGGTCCAGTGTCAGCCTTTGCCACATCTTCTATATAATCCAGAAGTTTGGGGCCTTCTATTTGAATCATTCTCAGATGAAACATTTTTTTCTAGGAATGCCCTGTCTACAATTCCTTATCAGGTGGTCTGTTCTACCTCAATTAAAACATTTGTATTTTGATGTCTCTTCATACCTTTGGAAATCACTTCTCCTACTTAAGCCTCAGTGTTATAGTCAAAAGACTCAAAATTGGCTGTGTGTAGGATCTATTCATCCATTGGTGATGATCTGATCTTTAAGGGCCCAAATATCTTTTTGCATTCTAAACAGGCATTTTCAAAAGCCAGAGATCCAATGAGTACTCGTCTAGCTTCTGGCTCTGCTGCTGATATTTGTACAGCTTTAGTTAATCTTTGCAAAAAATCACTAAATGGTTCTCTTGGGCCTTAGTATACAATTCAATTTTTTTTCTTAGTCCCAATCATTCAAGGCTGCTGTACTGACTGCATACAGACAGGATATGTTCAGTGTGTGTGTGTGTGTGTGTGTGTGTGTGTGTGTTTATATAGCTTGACTGTCTGGATCAGCATAAAAACCCTCACCAAGAATTTGATCTTGGGAGGCTTTAAAACCTCAGACTCTGCCTTCATGTTCAAGGACTTTAACTTCCTCTCTCCAATAACTTTTCCACTGTAACTGTGGACCATGATCTAATACAGTTGAGACTATCTGAAGCCAATCGTGTGGAGTAACCTTATTTCTTGAAGCCCATGTCTTCACCTCACATATGGTGAATGCATGCCATAAAAACTACAGCTTCCTTAATATGTTTTAGATCTTTTATATGTATAGGCTCCCATTCACATTCTGTATATCTTCTGGGTATTTGCTATTTGTTGGCTTTTCAGAGATAGTAACAGGAGCTACCACTCTTCGTGAGTCATCTCTGACTCTGATTGGTACTGGCAATGTTCAGTCTTTACTGCTTATCAGTTCTGACAAGGTTTTTTTTTTTTTTTGAGACAGGGTTTCTCTGTAGGTTTGGATCCTGTCCTGGAACTAGCTCTTGTAGACCAGGCTGGCCTTGAACTCACAGAGATCCGCCTGCCTCTGCCTCCTGAGTGCTAGGATTAAAGGCATGCGCCACCACCACCTGGCCAGTTCTGACAAGTTCTTTAATGGTTTCAAATCTATGTATCATTGTCTTTTCTGAATTTCTTGACCTGTGGATATTTCCTATGATTTCATCAAACCAATTAATCTCTGGTTCTCATCATGCACATATGATCCCAAGTTTTTAAATTTTTCCATTAATGATATCTTCTCATCCTTAGCGATTATTTGGACGGCATGTAGATTGCCTTCAAGGACTGATGTTCTATCTGCTAGCCTGCCATAACTTTTTAACAGAGTTTGATTGTCAGTTCCACAGTGTGACTCCTTTCAGATACTCTCTCAGTTCCATTCTGTAAGATTTCATAACCCGTTGACATGGAGTGAATTTTGCCTGTCAAATTACAATTATCATTTTCAATGGTATAAATCCTTCTGGCCAACGTCTCATTATAGTCTGTAAAGTCTGTATCATTTCTACAAGTTTCTCATTCTTGACTCTGTTAGCAAACCGTTTCTTTAAGAATGTATTATGACATATCAAACTAATAGCAGCTCTGGCTAAGAATGTATATATCCCAGGTAGGTCATAGCCCTCTGCTAGAATTCCCTCCACAGTAGAAATGGAAATTCCTGGGTGGTGATATTATCAGTCATTATCAGATGACTTAGCTCTTTTAAAACCTTGGTTCAGATGAGAATTTTAAGGTGTAATAACAATGTGAGCCAGTAGGTGTCACAGTTACATTACTAAAGCAATCCAGAGACCTTGGTGCTCTGGTCTTACTTGTTCTGAAGTCACAAACCTGGGAATTTTCTAAGCAGAACTCAAAACTCATACTGAAGGGATTTTTGCTAAAGATCTGCCAATCAGAGCAGCTGTGCAGCAGGCATGGTGGGCTGTGGGAGACAAGGGAAGCTGCAGAGTCACAGTAAGTCATGGTAGCTGTGCAAGAAGGCTTGGCAGCAAACTGCGGAAACCATAGGAGTCACAGAAAGGCACGGGAAGCTGTATGGATGCTATGCGGGCCGGCAGCAAGCCGTGGGTGCCATGGGAAGCTGTGGGTGGGGGAATGGGCAGGGCAGAAGAGGAGCCTAAGCCCAGGCAAATGGGAGTTGGGAGTACTAGTTTTTCTCTGGAATCCAGGTGGCTAGGTTTGGGTCTAACTCCAGTCTCTGCTTGGGGGAGGGAGGAGATGAGAAAAATCCTCAGGGAAATAGTCTCAGGTATTGCAAGGTGAGGCCACCAGGCTAGCTTAGTCTGAAATAACCACACAGAAATTGTATTGATTAAATCACTGCTTGGCCATTAGCTCTAACTTATTATTGGCTAACTCTTACATATTAGTTTAACCCATCTCCATTAATCTGTGTATCACCACGTGGCAGTGGCTTACGGGAGATTCTAACCGGCATCCATCTCAGGCGGAGGATCCATGGCTTCTCTGACTTTGCTCTTCTTCCTCCCAGCATTCAGTTCTGTTTTCTCTGCCTACCTAAGTTCTGCCCTATCAACTAGGCCAAGGCAGTTTTATTCATTAACCAATGAAAGCAACACACAAACAGAAGGAACTCCTACACCACTCAGGCAAATTCTTTTGTGGATTCATACTCCAAATATTGGGTGTCAAATGTAGCATGATTAATAGAAATCCAGAGACAGATATTGGGGTTCAACCTGAAGGTCAGAAAAGTTAAACAGTCTTACCTCTTACCTCTACCTCAGTCTGAAATGATTAGCCTGCCTCCCTTCTTATATTCCTATCTAGGGCTGGGATTGAAAATATCCACCACTACCTGCCCAGTTTCTAAGCCAAACTACTGTGGCTACTGGGATTAAAGGTGTGTGTCACCACTGCCTGGTCTGTAAGGGTGATCAGGGTGGCTGTTTTACTCTCTGATCTTCAGGAGAGCTTTATTTATTAAAATACAAATGAAATACATGTGGCCATGTTGAAGAGAACTTAAAAAATAAGAAGAGATATCAGGCTGGAGGCTAATGAAGTGCGGAGAGTCTGAATTTCATCAGAATACATAATACAGATATATGAAATACCAAAGAATAAATAAAACAAGTAGGCATATGTGTATATCTGATTTTACTCATTTAAGAACTTAGGTTGGGTTCCACAGAGACAGAGATAGAGAAAGGGAGGGAGGACAACACGGTTTGGAGGATTGATAGTTGTAGCTACTCTTCTGTTGCTGGGACCAAATGCAGCTTAGGGGAGGGAAGGCCTTATTCCACTCACACTTCCAGGGCACAGCCGTCCTTGAGGGAAGCCAGGAACCTGAGGGCAGGAATCATGGAGGAAAATTACTTTCTAGCTTGCTTGTCACCCATGCCTCTCCTTGGCTATCTTTCTTATAAATTCCAGGTCCACCTGTCTACGGAATGGTCCTACCCACTGTGAGCTGGGTCCTGCAACAGCCATTAACAATCCAGGAAGTCCCAACAGATGTGCCTACAGGCCAAGCTGCGCTAGGAGATTCCTCAGAGGAGGCTTCTCTCAGCTCTCAGCTGTGTGGAGTTGACAGTCAAAGTGAGCCTGGACAGAGGCCGTCCACTGAGTCCTTGTCACTAGAGAGACGAGGAAAAAGGCATTTAACACTTGATCCCCAGTTTGAAAAGCATGTCTCTCTGGGCAGGCTATGGGACTTCAAAGGGAGCCATTCCCAGCTTGCTCTGTGTCCTGCTTGTGGTTATGATGTGAGCTTTCAGCTTGCTGTTCCTGCAGCCCCCATTGATTCTCATCCCTCTGCAACTCTAAGGCCAAGTAAACCTTTTCTTGTATAAGTCGCCTTGGTAATGGTGTTGATCACAGCAACAAAGAGTGGGTCATCCAGGCCGCACAGAATTCCAGGCCAACCTGCTTGGTCTCACAAGGATCAGGAAGGGTCAAGTCCACTGGGCTGGGCTGCACTGTTAGACACAGAAGTGCACTCATTCATTCATTCAGTGTGCACGCCTCTACCCTGAGGGCTTCCGCAGTCAGTGATGCTCCTTGTCCTACAGAGATGGGATTGAAGAAGGCAGCTTAATGATACGTATTTTGAAATTCTCCGGTTGTGGGTTTTGTTAAGAAAAAAAATCCTAAAAGGGGGCAGCTATGCCAACGCAAGAAATCCAATTAGGTCAGATCAAACCAAATCAAAATGCCCATCGTTTTATTAAGTACAGCACTCTCGGGCATGGTAGGGAGAGAGGACAGCAGGGAGCCCATGCAAACCAGGAACCATGTGTTTCTCCTCTGGGAGCTCACTTAAATACCCTGTGGGAGTGGTGCTGACCCCCCAGGGAGGGGTCAGGACCTGGCATGCTGGGATTTGGAGTCCAGACTAATGCAACTCCCAGGACAGGGGCTGGGGGCTACGCTCCAGACTTAACAGGTTTCTCTGCCAATGCCAGATCTAGCTGGATTAATAAAACCAGGTTTAATAAACAGATCAAAGCAACTCCTTGGTGACTCTCGGGGGGGGGGGGGGGGAGGGGGGGAGGCAGGAGAGAAATCCCCTGGCTGGTCTAAGGGCCAAGGCTTAAGTACCCTGTAGGCATCTCAAGGGGAGCGGTAGGCTTACTGAAGGTGGGATCTGGAGAGAGAGGGGTGGGGACAAGGTGGGGAGCTTCCACCAAACAAAAGAGAGGAAGGGAAGGGCCAGAGAAGCCCCGGAGCCCTTGCCTTGTGCACACAGGACTCAGTGTTCAGCTCCCAGAACCACAGGCATGCAGGAGCACTCTCATTGTCCAGTGCATGCACCCCTCAAACCCTCCCTTCCTCCCTCCCTCCCTCTCTGAAAGAACACTGAAAGTCATAGCCACAGAAGATTGTTTGAGACCACTGAAGTATGGACTTTTTTTAATTGCCAGTAACAGCCAGGCATAGTGGGGCATGACGTTAATCCTGCCACTCAGGAGGCAGAAGCAGGCTCACTGTGAGTTCGAGGTCAGCCTGATCTACATAGTAAGTTCCAGTGATACATGGTGAGCCCTGTCTTGAAAAAGACAAAAAAAACCCCAACCCTCTTGTAAGCATCCAGACGAACATGGCTTCCCCTCCCCCACTTCCACAGCTCCTGTCCCCAGGGGCCGGTCGAATACCCCCCCCCCCCAATACCTTCATCTCATTAAACCCCTCACCTAAGTCTGCCTATCTGGCATATTTGTCTGTCTCTCACCCACCGTGGGCTCTCACCGGCTGCCAAAGTCCCTCTCGGGCAGAATCAAAACACCTCCCCAAACAAAACCAGCTAGACTGAAGGAAGATAGTTTCTCAGTTCCTAACAGGGAATCGCGAGCTTCAGACACAGCCAATCACCGGAAAGCGGGTTGTCTTCCCCTCCCCCTGTCTTTGCTCCAAGCAAGTTCTGTACCCGCAAGGTGGCACACTGGCTACCGAGAAAGAGAATGAGACTCTAGCTTTGGTTACAGAATCTGGATTGATCTGTAAACTCAGAAAGCAGTCAGCAGAGACAACACAACAGAGACCTCCTGGGAAGGAAGAGCAGGGATTCCAGCCTCAGGGTTTCTGCAGCTGGAAGGCAGGGGCCAGCCTAGGCTATAGAGGCAAACTGTCTCAAGGGGGAGGGGAGATGTTAAGAAGAGGGTGATACAAGATACAAAGAGAGAGCCTGGGGGGCACAGAGACAAAACTTCCTTGACGGCCTAACTGGGCTCCTGCCTGCATAAAACCTCCGGTCCTGGCCCTCAGTTCCATTTTTCCCACATTCAGGAATATGAACCCCAGCCCGGCTTCCCCTCTAGCGGCACCATGGTAACCAGACCCAGCCTAACGTCCCCTCCCCCTCAGAGAACTCAGTTTGTTTGTCTCCAGGTACCTAGTCGGGGATGAACAGAGGGCAAGTGGGCACAGACAGGGGATGAGAGAGGGGCGGGGCGGGGCGGCAGGGGGATGGAGCCAGAAGTAGCAATGGAAGAGAGACTGAGGAATCAATCTGGGAGAAGGGGAAGTAGAGAGGCTCAGAGAGGGTGACAGGGTTGGGGAGAGACTCCAAAGGATGAAGAGGGGGCAATCCGGGGGGCTAGGGAGCTGTTGGGGAGGCTGATGGAGAAGGCTGGGGAGATGGAGGGAGAGACCAGTGAGAAGGGGAAGAGGAGAGAGTCTCCTGGGAGAAATGTAGAGGACAGCTGGAGAGTGGGGTTGGGAGGGAGGCAGGCAGAGAAGTTGGGGGAAAACCGAAGACAGGGATGGGGCAGGAGGGGTGGAGAGACCAGAAGACGGGGAGAGACGGGGAAGGAAGTAGACTGGGGCGCACACCGAGTCCCCGAGGTTAGGGGAACGCGCGTGTCCTTGTGGTCTCAGCCTTCCAGTTCCGTGTTTGTCCCACGTGGTTTCAAAGAGCAAGAAGCAGGAGCCGACGGAAAGAGCTGGGGTGTGTGGTCCAGTGTGAGCACGCCGCCCCACCTCCCTGGACCTCCTCCGACCCGCCTCTCCAGGATGCAGTCAGGGGTGGAGCCACACAGCTCCCCAAACCTGGCCGGCCACGGCTTGCACAGGGAGGCAGGTGAGCAGGCCTGCGGGGCAGGCTAACCGGCTTTCCCGCACAGTTGGTCCTCGAGCTTCGAACTACATTTCCCAGGAGCCCCTGGTTGAGAGTCTGGGTATAGAAGAACTACATTGCCCTTGGGACTCTGCAAGTCTCTCGCCAGTGGGGTAAGCCCCAAAGTACATCTCTCAGAGGACTTTGCAATTCCCCGGGCTCTTAACTACTTTTTCTAGGAGGCTTCCTTGCTAATAGTCTGGAGTCAAAACTACATTTCCCAGGAGACTTTGCAGGGCCTTAGTCAAGACGCTGGACTACGAACTACATTTATCATAGGACTCTGCAGGTCCCTGGCTAATATTCTGAGGCCAGAACCACATTTTCCACCAGTCTCTGCAGTTACCGGGCTAATTAATAGTCTTACATGAAGTTCTGTCGCTCACAGAACGCTACTTCTGGGCCCAAACCTGTTTCCCACGAGACACTGCAGTTCCCTAGCTAATACTCCGTGTTTAGAACTGATTTTCCCATCACCCTCTGCAGTTCTCTGACAGATACCCTCGGTTTACATTTGTAAATTATTTAATTTGTAAATTATTTAATTTGTAAATTATTTAATTTACCTTGAAATGCTGCAGTGTCCTGGCTAACATTTCTGAGCCCAGAACTTCATGAGCCTCCTGGGCCTCGACAATGCCTCTGAGTTCATTTCTTTTCTAGATGCCTTCACTCCTTGGCCTTGCAGAATAGTTTACCGTCTTCCTGTCTTCAGTCCCTGTTCTTTATTTCAGATGGCCCCACCACCAACCCAGATGCTGAAACAGACCCCAGATGCCAACCTTTCACTCCAGCCCCTCGCGGTTCCTCCCCCTGCACCCCCCATCCTTGTCTTACTGACTTCTGGCTATGTCTGGTTTTCTCTGTCCATAGTTCTGACTCCAACAGAGACCTTACCTCCTTGTTGTTAGTCTCTTCTCCACCAGGGGCCAGCCTGGTTCCAGGGAGTCTTTCTAACATACACCCAGACCATCGCTGCCTCTTGCTCACGTCAGCCCCAGGCTTGCAACCCCTGTCAGCACAGTTCACCCGCTTCCCAGTAAGACTCTGCATGGCTATAAATAGCAGAAAGAATAGAAATGGCGTTGTCCTACACAAAAAACAGGGATTAAATTTAGTGACACCATCAGGGAGCCAGTTCCTTTCATCTCCCAAGGTTCTAATCAGAGATACATTTCCTTGGTATAACAGCTCGCCTTCCTCGTGGTCACAAGGCCATAGTTTCAACATCATTTCCAGAAGTCTTCATTCAGAGAGCTCCCGTGATGTCCTCTTCTCCCATCTCGGCTAACACTCAGTTGCCCACCTCATCTTACCTAGCAAGAGGAACAACATGACCTTATTATTCCACTGTAGGGTTTCAGCTCAAGCTGCACCCATGACTCATTTAACAAAAATCTCTGCCACTAGGGCTCAGGTAGTCCTAGGTTTTAAATGGTTACCAGGTGGTGCTGACAAGCTGTCTGGTTTAAGCCTAATGAATATTCCTGAGGATCTGGGAGCAGAACTATAAACATCAAGACCTGACCCCCCCCATGACCCATTTCCTCCGTCTGCACCCCCCACCTCCAAAAGATCCCATCACTACAAAACAGCACCCCCGACTAGGTGTCCTGTGTTCAAATGCTTGAGCCAGTGGGAACATTTCATATGCAAACTCCGAACTTGCTAACCTCCTACAGCCTTTCGGTCCCACTGGGGGCCCCACCTCCTTAGGGAAGTGGTCTGTGCTAGGCCTGGGGAAGAATTTCCTCTCCACTGGGAACTCTCAGGGGAGAAGTGGGTATCAGTCATTTAATACCGTGTTAAGTTTTCTGGTGAACGAATTCTTTCCAGTGTCCTCCAGGATACATAGGAAGCCATAGAGATGCTGTTAAGGATTGAAATTCTTGAATCTAGCTAATTAGTAAATACTTTTTCTTTCAATGTTTGGAATCAAACCCAAGGATTTGTGAGTGCCAGGCAGGGGCTCCCAGTCCCTCACTGTGGGATTCTAGGCAGGTGCTCTACCACTGAGTCACCTCATTAGGTGTGGTGTTTGAATAAGAATGGCTCTCCAAGGCTCAGGTATTTGAATGCTTAGTCACCAAGGAGTGGAACTGTTTGAAAGGATTGGTGGGTGTGGCCTTGCTGGTGTTTCTCACGCCAGCCCCACCCCTCTCTTTGCCGGTGGACTAGGATGCAGCTCTTAGCTCTTAGCTACTGCCCAGTGTCACGCCTGTTACCATGCTTTCCTGACACGGTGGTAATGGATTAAGCCTCTGGAACTGTGAGCAAGACCCTGATTAAGATTGCCTTGGTCATAGAGCACTGACTAGGACAGGAGTTGGTGCCAGGGAGCAGGGTACGGCTGTGACAAGCCTGACTAGGCTGCTCAATGAAGGAAAGTGGACTTTGGGACTTCGGACTAGAAAAGCAGTTGAGTGCTTTAGATGAGGCTGAATGGGCCACACTAGTAGGAACAGGCATGTTGCAGATATTACTTTATTTAATTGTGTAAGAGTGTGTTGTGTTTGCTTGTGCTGCATTTGTTTAATTATGTAAAGATGTGTTGTTGTTTTACCTTGCCTGCTTAAGGCACCTGATTGGTCTAATAAAAAGCTGAACAGCCAATAGTTAGGCAGTGAAGGGATAGGTGGATCTGGCGGGCAGAGAGAATAAGTAGGAGGAGGAATCTAGACTGCAGAAAAAGAGAAGAGAGAATGAGGGAGAAGGAGAGGGAGAAGGAGAGGGAGACACCTGGGGCCAGTTGGCTGCCAGACAGACAGACATGGACAAGTGAAACAAACAGAATGAAAGGTAAAAAGCCCCAAGCAAAGCCTAGGTGAAGATAAACAGGTTAAAATAAGTTATAAGAGCTAGTGGGACAACCATAAGATAAGGCTGAACGTTCATAACTAATAAGAAGTATCCATGTCGTGATCCGGGAGCTGGTTGGTGGCCAAAAGAATTATGTTACCTTTGTTCCTTAGTCCACATACGACTAAGGAAGCTAAGAGACAAAGAAACAAACTGGACATGGTTCCTGTACTCGGCTCTGTCGTGCAGTGACTGAGTATTCTGAGTAGGAACAGCAAGCTAAGTAAAAAAAAATGCTCGCCACAGTGTGGGCACCCACCTCCCAGAGCTGGGGCTGTTAAATGCAGTTCCCGGTTAGACTCAGCTCCCAGTTGAACGCAGCTCTTGGTCAGGCTCTCGACCATAAAGCTTAGCTTTCGTGGACCTGAGCAGGGCAGAGCCACCCACCACTGCAAAGTGCTTAGCAGTTTGAGGTTTGGTTCATGCGGTCAGAAAAGGCTAGAGACATGCAATAAAGATGGACCCAGATGGAAAAATCCTCTAAACAGGTTGCAGTGTGTTTAAAAATGTGCATAAAAACGGGTATAGACAGTCTTAGAAAAAATAGTTTATAAATAATAAAGTCTTTAAAGAGAGAGTAAAGGAATATAAAAGAATAAGCCATGTAAAGATGAGAAACACACAGGGAGTCTGGATCCTGAATGGTGTTGTGTTGACTGCGAATGTTTTGACGCTGCACACAGCAGCTTCTGAGAGACAGGACTGTCAAAGGGACTGCTGAACTAAACCAGCCTAGATACTTTAGGCATGCCTTAACTTTAAAATGGAAGTCAGAAAATGTATTGCATTGGGGGAAGAGGCTATACTTTTGTTTTCACAGAAAATGAAAGTTTATAGATTCCTTCAAAGTGAATAGAGATTAGTTTTGATCAAGGCAGACATCCTGAAAGTCTTTACTACAGACATAAAAAAAATTAAACCAAGAAAACCTGCAAGACCGTTGACGTATATACTGGTCTCTGCATGGGAGCAGCTTTGAGGCTGGACAACAAATACTACAGCTAGTTTTCCCAGAACTTGATCATTCTCTCAAGTTTCTCTGGGTCCCTACAGGTACCATCACACCAGACAGTAGGAAATAATTTTAAGACTATGATGCCCACATTTCCAAGAGGTGGGTTGGATAGGTTTTGTTCATTCAGTGGGATATGGATGTTTGTCATCATTTAGGGGGCTGTTTGCAAACTGTTATGGGTCATGATAAGGAAAAAAACTAAGCAAAGAGGTTGGATTCAAGGATTTTTTTTCTGAAAAGAAATAGGGGGGCTAGAAATGCTAGGGTAAAAGGATAGATTATTGAATCTGTTTTAAACTAAAAAGCAACTATTAATCTCAAATATTTTATATTGG